TGAACTTTTTTCTGCTCATATTGATAGAGGGAAATTATAGTAATAACTTATCTGTACAACTGTCGAGTGTCGACTTTAGCTAAAATAGTTGTATAAATGAGTAAATTGGTAAATAAACAAAATTGCAAAAAAATTGAAAAAATCCCAAAAATTACAATAAATTGCACTTAAAATTTTTAGATTTGAATTTCTACTTACTAAAAATGTATTTAAAACTTACTTGGTAATAAATTGAAAAAGTAGAAAAAAGTTGCAAATGCAACATCATCGGTGGCTTACTTATAGTTAATATACCTTTGAGAACCCCTGAAAACGAAATAAAAATTCTACTACCTATCCCATATAGTGGGACGCAATTCATGTATACCTTTTTAATGGGACGCAACTAAGGTGCCCCGGCTACATCTTGGGTAGTATCTAATTCAACAGAAAACATTCCAGGTTCTACAATTTGACTGTCAATTGAATTTTTTAATAAGATCACTAGGGTGGTCTTTATGTATAGATGATGAAATTTTTTTTTTAAATTTTTGATAGGGCCACCCCTGGAATTTGTTCAAAACAACAAAATGATGATCTGTGTGAAGTTTTGTAAATATTGATTAACCCTAAGGTGTGCCTCAAGAGGGTTGAAGTTCAAAGAAGGGTGGTTTTTCGATATTTTCAATTTCGGCCTAAAATATTTAAGTTAGGCAAAAAAGTGCTTTAACATATTATTTTTTAAATTGAATATGCTATGAAAAATGTAAGTTGTACTTTTTTTATTTAATTACTTATTCCGACAAAAAATAAAAAAACTCGTATTTAATATATTTTACATGATTATTTCGGTTAACAGCGTTAGGCGTTCAGTTAACACGTTGGGTTTGTAGGTATTAAACCATCGTAGTTTTACTATCTAATCAAATTAAGTAGCTAGATATGTAGATCATCTTTGGTGTTCCACTATATTATTCCACTATATATTTATTAAAATTATAGTGAATAACAATAATTAAATAAAATTATCTTTGGGATTTTTCAATTAACTATTAGCGTCTACAGATTATTATTAAATAACACGTTATTTATGTTTATAAGTATTTAGTTGTTGGACGGTACAAATTTGTTTAATAGTTCAGTCATACACTTTGACGGAAAATTACTTCCTTCGTTAACTACAAAAAATCTTGTAGATCGATTACCAGTAATTATTTCATGTGGAAATCACGAACAACTACTCGTTAGTTAATAGAAACAAGAGAAGAACCGGCTATAAATGTGTATCAATTAATTGAAGAATGGGTTCTTAATAATTCAGTTATGGCTGTTTGTTGTGACACTACAGTTTCAAACACTGGTAGATTAAATGGCGCATGCGTATTATTAGAATAACGTCTTGAAAAAAATTTGCTGTAATTGCTTTGTCGACATCATATTTATGAACTAGTTTTAAGAAGTGTTTTTGAAGAGAAATTTGGTTCCACCTCTGGGCCAAATATACAATTTTTAAAAAAAATTCAAGACAACTGGAGTATAATAAAAACTGTAAAATTTAATCCAGGAATAGAAAATGATGATGTTAGCTTAATATTAAGTCATGATGTCCAACAACGTGTACTTGACTTTGCCTTAACTCATTCTAAAGAAAAACAGTTTAGAGAGGATTACAGAGAGCTACTAGAACTGTATATAAATTTTCTTGGTGGAATTCCACATCGCGGTATATCATTTCAAGTTCCTGGAGTAAATCATCACGCTCGATGGATGTCTAAATAATATATTGCTTGAAATTATATATTTTTAGAAAAAAATTTCATATGACCAAAACACAAGAACGCACGTCGTGATACTTGTATTTTTATTACATCCGTTTACTTTGAAAAATGGTTTCCTTCACATTGTGCAATTGAAGCCCCATAACAAGATATTTCATTTATTCAGTGCCTGATTAATTATGAAAATATTGATAAGCAAATATCAAATATTGCAATGAAAAAATGTTGTGGTCATCTGTGGTATCTAAATCTTGAAGCAGCAGCATTTTCATTTTTTGATTCAAATATTCCTTTGTCAATGAAAATAAAAATGGTAGATTCACTTAAAATTGAGGATGGAAATGAAAATATTATTAAACGTTATTTACCCCAATGAATAATTTAAAATGTCAACTATCAAAAAGGTATATCTGTACTTAGTCAAGTTAAAGCTGTAAATGATGCAGCTGAGAGGGGAGTGAAATTAATAACTGTTTTCAATGGCAAAATTATTAAAGATGAGGAACAAAAACAATTTTTGATGCAGACAAGTTTACGACTACCGGCATAAGTATCTTTTGTCGAACAAGGTTCTCAGCCCTTGCCAGAAGGGATTCCTGCCAGCGGACGCCGCGTTCGAACACGTCCACACTCTCAACCAAGTGCTGGAGAAAGCCAGGACCCACGCGGCGGACAAGTGCGTGGCCTGGCTGGACGTGTCGAACGCGTTCGGCGCGATTCCGCACCCCGCTCTGGAGGCTGCAATCGAGAGGAGCGGGGACTTCCTTCTGGCCATCCGCGATATCTACATGGGAGCGACGTCATCGGTGAGCGTGGCAGGAGGGCTGACCAACGATATCCCGGTGGCATATTAACAAAACGTACATGATTTCGGTACTAGCATAATTCTCATTGGTCGGTTCTAATCGACTTTTTTTCCGCGCTAATAGT